AATATAGTCTAACAAAATAGGTACATTCAAAAATATGCTTTTTCCAGACTGTTTATTCCCATGTTGTTTATAATAGCAAAACCAAACAATGTAAAAGTAGAATAAAACCAAACAAATAAACCAAAACTACAACAAAAACCCACCCAAAAGCGATGTAAATACCAAACCCTAAAATAAAGGACTGGTTAAAAACACAATGGCACAACTGCACAGTGAGATAATATGCAGTAATTAGAAGGATAAGGATCTATATTTACTGACACGCAAATATGCCCACAATATACTGTAAAGGTGAATAGAAGATTATGGAGAGTTATCATATAGGGTCTCTTTTTTTTTTACATCATTTGATGGTCTCTATTTTTTTTAAGAGAGATTTTTGCTATAGGGACTGAGTGGCAGAGAGAGAAACAGAGAGACAGAAAGCAAGAAATCACCCCCCAGAGGGGATGGCCATGCTGGAATCCCCTCTTCTCCATTCTCCTTTTGAGATTTTGGGCATGTACTCACATGTGCCAGGTGTGAATTTTGAGCTGCCAGGTCTGGGACCTGATCTGCGGCCAGCCATGTAGGAGTCCAGTGATGTAATCATTATACCATCTGCTGGTCTCTAGGATCTCTTTTTGTTTGTTTTGGAGACGTTTTTGCTATAGGGCGCGTGTGCTCACCAGAAAGATAGAGGGAGACAGAGAGACAGAAAGCAAGAAATCACCCCCTAAGGGGGATGGCCATGCCGCAATCCCTTCTCCTCCATTCTCCTCTCGGGATCTTGGGCATGCACGCACATGTGCCCAGCATGAGGTTAAGCCACCAGGTCAGGGACTCAAACCATGGTTGACTACATGGGAGTCCCGTGACATAGCCATTATGCCAACTGCTGGTCCCCCTAGGATCTTGTTTTTAAAAATTCATATTTTATGAGTATAAGGAAAATTCTGGGAGAAAAGACAATAAAATATTGTGTCATTCTTTTTATTTTTAATTTTTAAAATTATTATATCATTTTTTTTTATTTTCAAAGTGCGCATGTGCTTGCCAGAGACAGAGAGAAAGGGAGAAAGAAAAAGCACCCACTACACACACCACAATATCTTCTCCTCTATTCTTCCATCCTGTTTGGATTTAGGGCACACATGCACATGCTACCAGCATGTTTCACAAGCCAATGAGGCCAAATTTCAAACTGTGCAGCTGATCATGTGGGATCTAGCTCCCTTAGCCACCATGCAATGGGGCTGGCCCTCTTTTTCTTTCTGTTGTTTTTCAAGTTCTATTCACTTATTTCTTCTATAAAAGCAAGCGACAAAGACAGACATCCCCAACAAGATCCTCACCACATAACATACCCCAGCTTCAGCCAGCCCCATATTATGGGCATGAACGTGCCTGATAAGTTCATGGAGGTCTTTGGGCATGAAACTAGAACCTCCACAAGTGGGAAAGCCTCCAAGGGTGTTACTGTGCAACATCCAGCCCCAGGGGCCTCGTGCCTGTTCATAATTGGCATTTCTCTCCATTCTTCCCATTTTTGTTTTCTAGATTGTTTTATATCAAATGTGGATTAATAGAAGAAACAAATCAATTATCACCACATGTTAAGATGATTAGCCTAGGGACCAGCAGTTAGTGTAATGACTATGTCACTGGACTCCCATGTAGTCGAATGCTGTTCAGGTCCCAGACCCGGTGGCTTAAACTCATGCCAGGTGCCTGTGCGTGCGTGCCCAAGATCCCGAGAGGAGAATGGAGGAGAAGGGATTGTGGTGTGGCCATCCCCCCTGGGGGCTGATTTCCCGCTTTCTGTCTCTATGTCTCTCTCTGTCTGTCTGGCGAGCACATGTGCCCTATAGCAAAAACCTCTGAGAGGGGTGGGGGGGGAAGATGATTAGCCTCAGGCACAAAAGACAAAGGCCATTGAGGATACATTTATCACAGTCCAGGTAAGAAGTGAGGAAGGCTTGTGTTGGCCTCCAGTGATTTCCAACCCCTCCAGTATGTGAGAAACATCTAGGGAGGTATTAAAAAGTACTAAGTTCAGGAACAACACAGGTAGTTAATTTGGAGTCTCTGGGGTAGGGTATTTTACTCTGCCTCTTCCAGGTGACGCTACAATGTGCAGCCAGAGATCAACTCACTGCTCTCCAGGGCAGCAGCAGGTGAAAATGAGAGGGGGAGCTAGAACTGAGTTGCATTTCAGGGGTGATCTCTGGAAAGGATTTTAATCTTAAGGTTCTCATGAAGTTAACTTTAGTGGGTTTCCTTTCATTACATGTAGCTCTCAAGGTCAAGTGGATTGCTGGAGAACAGACAGTGGGTCCTGTTGATCTTCCTGGTCTAGGCTGCTCCTGGTGTCGCAAGCGCGGAGGTTGTCTCCAACCCAACACATCTGGACTGCAGTGATACTGCGAACTGCGAACAGACTGTCCGTTTTCCTAACACCCTGTAATTGAGTCAGAGCTCGGGAACCCTGGCTGGACAGAGAATGCCAACAGTGCAGAGAAAGGAAGGCATTTTATATTGATGTCCCAACAAGATTATACTTGATTTTGTGTGTGCCTTTGTCAGAGAGTAAGAGAGAGCAAGAGAGAACACCCTCAATGGATAGTGGTCACACTACAATCCTCTTTCTTCCATTTCTCCATCCCATTGGGATTTTAGGAATTGATGCACACATGCCTATCATGTTTTTCAGAGATCCTGGTCTGGGTTTTGAACCATAATTAACCATGTAGGATTAGTTGCCTATGCACAAGACTTCACCACTGTGCTATTGGACTTGCCCTACAGGATGATTTTTTTTTTTAAAAGGAAAAGTTTGGTTTTAAGGTCCACTGAGGTTTGCTATTTCTTTCCTAATCGTAGTGAGTAGAGGTGTTAGCTAACAGTAACAGTGTTTTTGATAACATTGTAGTAGCTTCTCTAAGGTTTAAAAATTAAGATCTGCTTTTAATTGCTACCTTCCTTCATAAGGTGTAACTCAGACAGGACGGAAAATTCTACAGTCTCACCAGTCTTTGATGCCATAAGCTATTGAGGTGACTTGAAGTATCTTAAAAGATGTCACATAAATACAGGTGAATTTTAATACTTGATGTGCACTGATGTTTTTAGTCTAGATAGTAACAGAGAGACTTTTGTATAGTTGGTGAGCACTTATATCAGATTCTGGCTGTGAAGATTGGATTTCTCACTTATTGGCTGAAAAAATAAATGAAGCCATTATACACAGTATTAAAATATTAATCATACCTTCCATAATTAAATAACCCTTTAAAAATAAAAGTTACACAATCCGTCTTCCACTTCATCTTTTTTTTTTAAGAGGTTTTCACTATAGGGCGCGTGCGCTCGCCAGACAGAGAGAGACATAGAGACAGAAAGCGAGAAATCACCCCCCAGGGGGGATGGTCATGCCGCAATCCCTTCTCTTCCATTCTCCTCTCGGGATCTTGAACATGCACACACACGTGCCTGGCGTGAGTTTTAAGCCACCGGGTCTGGGACGCGAACAGCGGTCGACTACGTGGGAGTCCAGCGACATAGCCATTATCTAACTGCTGGTCCCCTCTTCCACTTCATCTTTGATGTTCATCCCAACACTAATGGGAGGAAATGAGCACTGTAGGAAATCGAAATGGAAAGCGCCCTTGACTTTGCAGAGAGCAGAGTTGAGGAAGAGAACTTGACTTCCCTCCCGCTTGGGGTCAGTGTTTAGGTCCATGCAGAGAGGAGCTGAGGAAACAGGGCTGGAAATGCCAAAGGTCAAGGGGAGCATTGAGGCAGTGGGCTGCATCCCAGACCCAGGGCTGGTAGTCCTCCTCAGAGGAACTCTGCGCTGGAAACACAAGCTGAGAAGCACTTCCAGAAGGAGCCTTGAGGTCTGAGGTGGGGATAAGGGGAGAGAGACAATGCGGAAAGTGGGGGTAGAGTGGAGGAGAGTTAGGTGAGCATCTCAAAAGTTACCTTTCCAGTCAGGCTTTGACATCAAAAGGCATACATCTGCCTTCAACTGGCAGGTGAAAATGCTGAGCAGGTGACAACAGGCCTCTGGGAAGATAAGAGCAGAAATCTTTGAGCTTCAAATCACAGATCTTTCTGCCTCACTGAAACTGGTCCTCTCTGCCTGGGGTGTCAGTCCCTATGACCTGCAAACCCGAGCAGGACAGAGGCTGTGGGAGTCTCTGTGTAGTCCACACATACACATAAACACAGTAAATATTTGGGTATATATGAATGCCCAAATATGCCTCTC